CCCAGGGGGACGGTGGGGACCCAGGGGGATGCTGGGGGCCCAGGGGGACGATGGGGGCCCAGGGGGTTGCTGGGGACCCGGAGGGGACGGTGGGAACCCAGGGGGATGCTGGGGACCCGGAGGGGATGCTGGGGGCCCGGAGGGAACGGTGGGGACCCAGGGGATGCTGGGGGCCCAGGGGGACGGTGGGGACCCAGGGGGATCCTGGGGACCCGGAGGGGATGCTGGGGGCCCGGAGGGGACAGTGGGGACCCAGGGGGATGCTGGGGGCCCAGGGGGACGATGGGGACCCAGGGGGATGCTGGGGACCCGGAGAGGATGCTGGGGACCCGGAGGGGACGGTGGGGGCCCAGAGGGGACGGTGGGGGCCCAGGGGGATGCTGGGGACCCAAGGGGATGCTGGGGGCCCGGAGGGGATGCTGGGGGCCCGGGAGGGACGATGGGGGCCCGGAGGGGATGCTGGGGGCCCGGGAGGGACGGTGGGGGCCCGGAGGGGCCGGTAGGGACCCAGGGGGATGCTGGGGGCCCAGGGGGACGATGGGGACCCAGGGGGATGCTGGGGGCCCGGAGGGGATGCTGGGGACCCAGGGGGACGGTGGGGGCCCGGAGGGGATGGTGGGGACCCAGGGGGATGCTGGAGATCTAGAGGGATGCTGCGGTACTGGAAGGGATGCTGGGGGCCCAGGGGGATTGTAGGGACCTGGAAGAGATGCTTGGGGCCTAAGGGGATGGTGGGGGCCCGGAGCGGATGGTGAGGGGCTGGTGGGGGAACGGGGGGCCTGAAATGCAGGTGTGGAGAATCAAAGGTGAGAATTTGAGGCCGCACGCCAGCAGGACGGAAATGGGGGGTGTCTGAGTGGGGATGTGGTAGGGGTGACATGTCCGGGACTGAGCGTGTTAGAGAAAAGGTTCTGTGAACGCCACCCTACCCCGTCAGTCTGGAAAGGAAGAATGCAGGCTCGCTGCTACGGGAGCCTGGCAGATGACATGTATGCGGAGCGTGTGCAGGGGAGTACATCTCATACATGGGCAAGCACAAGAAGGAGCAATTAAGACCTGTCATCTCCCTGAGGGAAAAGCAGATGCATCCTGTAGTCCTGCAGCTGGGGAGAGATGCCTGACTCAGTTCCGGAGCTTTGCGTTTACAGCACTGAGTTGGTGACCGTGCCTTATAAAATCTGGATGCCACGTTATGTCGTTCCTGAACAGAGGGGCACTCTGAGTGAAGACGAGGGGTAGATGTCGCCCCTTTATTGAGTGAGGAAAATGCTACCCTGTTTACCTTTGTGGGTGGGGTAAGGGAGTTGTCCCCAGGTGGGACTCTGAGCTTTGGAGAGGGGCTTGAGGGCAACTCTTCCCGTGTACCCTAAAGCTTACCCGGACGGAGAGCAGGGAGGACGGCAGGTGGGGAAAGGCAGAGGGGAGGGGGCACTGGGAGGAGGGTGAGCTTGGGAGTGTCTGCGTTCTGGGCGGAGCTGAGCACACCAGTGAGGTGGGCTGGTGGAGCAGCGCGAAGGGCTGTGTGATGCTGTGTGTGCTGGGCTGCCTTCCCAGGCAGCCTCGCTGTGCCCGCAGTGGTCCAGGTGTGGAATTCCTCACTGGGCCAGTGTGTGGCATGAAGTCAGGGAGAACACGTGGGGTGGTCAGTGTGGAGAAGAATCCCCCGTAATCCCATCCACACCGGACTTTTCAAGACATTTTGAAATGCAGCTATCTCGCCAGGCATTCCTTCATTGCTTCCTATTTTATGTCTGTCTCTCCTTCTCCCTCCCCGCTTTGTACACACACACACACACACACCTGTATTTTTTTTTCATTTTTTATTGTTATGTTAATCACCATACATTACATCATTAGTTTTTGATGTAGTGTTCCATGATTCATTGTTTGTGCATAACACCCAGTGCTCCATGCAGAATGTGCTCTCTTTAATACCCATCACCAGGCCAACCCATCCCCCCACCCCCCTCCCCTCTAGAACCCTCTGTTTGTTTTTCAGAGTCCATAGTCTCTCATGGTTCGTCTCCCCCTCCGATTTCCCCCCCTTCATTCTTCCTCCTCTATCTTCTTTTTCTTTTTTCTTAACATATGTTGCATTATTTGTTTCAGAAGTACAAATCTGTGATTCAACAGTGTTGCACAATTCACAGCGCTCACCATAGCACATGCCCTCCCCAATGTCTATCACCCAGCCACCCCATCCCTCCCACCCCCCACCACTCCATTAAAAATTCCTCATATCAGTGAGGTCATATGATACATGTCTTTCTCTGATTGACTTATTTCACTCAGCATAACACCCTCCATTTCCATCCACGTCCCTGCAAATGGCAAGATCTCATTCATTTGATGGCTGCATAATATTCCATTGTGTATATACACCACATCTTCTTTATCCATTCATCTGTCGATGGACATCTTGGCTCTCTCCACAGTTTGGCTATTGTGGACATTGCTGCTATAAACATCGGGGTGCACATGCCCCTTCGGATCCCTACATTTGAATCTTTGGGGTAAATACCCAGTAGTGCAATTGCTGGATCGTGGGTAGCTCTATTCTCAACTTTTTGAGGAACCTCCATACTGTTTTCCAGAGTGGTTGCACCAGCTTGCATTCCCACCAACAGCGTAGGAGGGTTCCCCTTTCTCTGCATCCCCACCAACATCTGTCGTTTCCTGACTTGTTCATTTTCGCCATTCTGACTGGGGTGAGGTGGTATCTCATTGAGGTTTTGATTTGGATTTCCCTGACACATCTGTATTTTGTACGTGTGGAAGTTTGCCTACGTAAGCTTCTGCTGTTTTTAGGCTTTTTTTTTTTTCTTAATCATATATTGTCCACATCTTGCCACAAATCAACTGGATGCTCCTTAATAATTAGATTTCAGTTGTGGTGAATGCAGATCACGGGAGGCAGTTGGGGAAAGTGTGGGAAGCAGAGTGTTTGTCACTGTCTGAAGCTTGAGAAAATGTGGTTTAAAGTGTGTGTCTTGGGAGAAATGTGAAATTGAGATAGGTGTTGTCTGGGAAGAATCCCGGGAGTCTGGCTCCTGAAGCTCGGTTCTTGAAACCAGGTTTCCTGAAAAGGGGGAGGCTTTGGGCCAGCAGGTCCATGTGCTCCCCAGGATTGTTGAGGCAGCTGAGCCAGGAAGCCAGGGTAGGAGATGGGACCCCATGTTCCATGCTGTGCTTCCTCTAGTCCACACGGTGGCCCTCTGGTGCTGGAGCTGGGACCACGACATGGGCTATGTCCCTCGAAGGCCCCTGGAGAGCAGCCCTGGCATCGTCTGGGAACTGTGAGAGATGTACTTTCTTGGGCCCCACTCGGACCTACTGAGTCAGAACGTGGGGGGCAGGATGCTGCTCCGAGCCCTGAGGTGCCCCAGTGTTGCGCTGTCCACACGGCCGGGGGGACTTTCACGCTAGGGTGTGGTCGGAAATGCAGTGGGAGTAGGGAGAGGTCCTCGATCTCCTTTCCGAGGGTGAGAAGGATGGTGCGTGCCATGTGAATAGGCCGTGTTGTGGCCCTGAGACACCTGCACGTTTGAACCTCCCAGGTTGAGAGTGGGAGCCTCTGAGAAGCAGGAGGTGGAGGTAATGGAAAAGGTGGCCACTGGCGCCGGGAGACACTGCTCCCACTGTTCTGCCTCCAGGCCTCCTTGTGTTCAGGAGTCCTTGGAACTTGTGTAAAATGTTGCTGGGTCTGTTCCTTTGGAAACTGACTAAAAATAGGGTGTTTACTTGATGCTGAGGCTCACTCCAGGGCACAGGCCTGGTGCAGGCGCTAAAAGACATCCGTATACAACAGTGCCTCGTACAGAATGCGGGCCGTCGTGCGCTCCGTCCACGTGCCTGCTCACGTCTCCCCACGAGCATTTCTTGGGGTGCTGCCCCAAGATCTTCCTGTCGTCATTCAGCTCCATTCCCAGGGTCAGCACAGGTCGACGTGGGTTCCGGGCTATAACAGGCGAGGACCGAACAAGGCCTCCAGGAACATAACATAGATCAGAGACCCGGGTCAGCAGGTGGGAGGAGGAAAGCCATCCACGGTGGACACAGTCGCTGTTTCCACGTATTTACCTGGTGCCCACGATGTGCTGGCATTGTGCTCAAGGCACCCTTCTCCTTAGGTTTGCCTTCTCCAGCATGTAGACTGAGCCTGTCAACATGTAGGCTGCTGGGAGCTGTGGCAAGTGCTGTGTGATCGGCGAAAGGTCTGTTACAGGGGAAAGGGAGCCCCTGGAGCTGGCCATGGGGTGATGGGGTGCTGGGGCAGGAGAGGAGAGGGGGCCCCTGAGGCACCCGGGGCTGGGGGTGGGAGACCAGGGAGGAAGCCTGCTCTATCTCCAGAGGGGCAGCTGTGTCGGACAGAGGTTAGAACACACAGAGGTGGGCATTGCATTTGGCCCCCCCTGGAGGCCTGGGCAGAGCAGCGTGTCCAGGGGCGGGGGGTACCTGGTGGTGGGAGCCGCAGTGCGTGTCTCTTGGAGGAGGGGTAGCTGGAGAGGGCTGTGGGGATGTGGGGAGGGGGCCGCTGGTCTGTCTGAAGGTGGAGAGCTTCGGGCGTCTGTGCAAACTGATGAGAGGGTCTAGGACAGGGGCGGGCGAGCGAGGCGGCCCCGTCTTGTGAATGAGGACAGCCACACCCCTTCGTCTCTGTGCGTCGCTGTCTGCTCCCGCTGTACGGCTGCAGGGTTGCGCTCTTGCAGCGGGGACCGTGTGCTCACACAGCCTAAGGTACTTGCCGCTGCGCCCCGGTGTCGGAAGGACGGAGAGGTCGGTGTTACTGGAAGGGGTTGGGATCGAGGGCACGAGAGCGAGGCCCAGCCTTGGAGGGAGCAGGCGCGCTTCTTCCTGCCATCAGTAGTGGGGAGCAGGGCACAGGCGGGACACCCGGGGACAGGTGTGGGACAGGGAGGGCGTGGGCATGTTGCTCCTGCTCTGGCCCTCCCCTTCATCTGGTCACTGCGTCTGTTGGGAAACCGCCATGGAAAGGTGTGCTAGGAAGCGTGCTGGCCACAGGTTTCTCTGCTTGCTTTTCCCTGGAACCCTCAAACCCGAGTGCTGTTCTCACAGCCCTCACGTGCAGCACCTTAGGGAGAAGTGTTTCATTTCTGCTTCGTTCCTCTTCCCTTGTCCTTCTCTCCTTGTGTTTTGGGGGTTTTTTTTAGGGTTTTATTTATTTATTTCACAGAGAGACACAGTGAGAGAGGGAACACATGCAGGGGGAGTGGAGGAGGGAGGAGGAGCAGGGATCCCAACTCGGGGCTCGATCCCAGGACCCCGGGACCATGACCTGACCCAAAGGCAGACGCTTAACGACCGAGCCAGCCAGGCGCCTCAGTGTCCTCCTCTCTTTGAATTCTAGCATATTTCAGAGGTGCTGTTGTCCTTCGGTCTTCAGTCATTTGAGTGGTGGGTAAACAGGCCCCGAGGGTGAAGGAACTTTCCATGGTTGTAAAGCACGTGGCAGAGCGGAGCTCCTCAGACCCTGCAGTGCCACCACACTCCCTCGCTCTGGAGCATGTGTGTCTCATCTCGCTTGGAGCTCGGGAGTCCCCCGAGGCACAGGCTCTTGTTAGTAGGGACTCAGCCTCTAGCTGCAGCAAGCTCCCCAACCCTGGACAGTGGTGCACAACACAGGCCCTGACTCTCTCTGCGGGTTGGACACAGTTGGTGGTGATCGGGTGGCTGAATGGCTGGAGGGTCCCTTGAGCCGGGAGGACCAGGGTCAGGCCGGCTCCAGGTGCTGACCAGCACATTGAGCATGGTCCAGGGTGGGGCCGAGGCACCCAGCCTCCGACCTCGGTCTTGGACTGGGAAACACCAGAAACTGTGGGTAGTATTCCCCGTTCTGAGCGTAGAGACCTTCCCACCCTCCACAGTCAGAATGACTTCGGGGGCCCCGTGGCACAACGGCCCTGGCGGGTCTGTGCGGGGGACCTCACAGGTCTGTGCCGGTAGAGGTCCCAGGCCAGCAGGCCACAGTGGTCTGTGTTTGTTTCAATGTTGGGTGGATGTCCCTCTTGCTGGGGAGAGAAGTCTGAGCCGGACACGTTTGCTTTCTGCTTCCCTCTCTCCAGTGAGAGACCTCGTCCCAGAGGAGAGGCCGCCATGCTGCATCTGTGCCCCAGGTGGTCGTAGGACGTGTGTGAAAGCTCTCAAGGAGGTAACTCGGTGTTGTGTTCAGCAGGTCTGAACTGTGGGTTGGCTGGCCCTTCAGAGAGCCCTCCTGAGGTCACACGGTGAGGCTGCTGTCTGCCGACTCTCCAGGCACTTGGATTCCGTGTAATTAGGACGCTCCATGCCATGCAAGCTCTTTTCTTGTCTTGCCCAGCCTTGGTTGCTTGATGTGGCATCGTGGAGAAGTCTGGGTCTTTTTAGTATAACTCAGTGAACAAATGCAGAGGGTTTCTGTGGACGCTGAGCTTCAGGAGCCAGGGATGATGTCAGTGTTGGCACCTCGGTTGCCTGCCACCCCACATGGCCTGTGGGGCCTCGAAGCCATGGCCAGGATTCAGAGACTCCCACACTTCTCAGTATTGTAAGAGATAATAGCAGTGATTTGTTCTCCCGTGTTTACAAACGAGGTTATGCCGTAACCGTGCGTGTGCATGGCGTGGGGGGGGGTGGAAGACAGGCCCCAGCTGGACCTCTGCACACAAGGGAGGTGCACAAGGCATTCCCAAGTCTAGTTGTAGCCTAGTCCTCGTCACGTACTTGTGGTTTGACCTTGCACGAGGTTCTCCTCCTTTCCTGGCTTTGTGGGCTTATCTGGTCAGTGAGAGGGGCGCACGTGGTGTTCTGTCAGGCTTGCCTCACATCCATCATGCCTGACCTCCCAAACTTTGTTAGCAAATGCAAAAGCCATAGATGTGAACAGCGTACCTTCACTACTCACAGCCCTGTAAAACCATACGTACAGATATGTACACGGAGCTAGATAATTACGGAGAACTTGATGAATTTGTGGGCCATGCAAGAAGGGAAAGGTCTGCCTGTAGGATTATTTCCTTTATGAAGAAGATTTCGAGAGGAGAGTGTTAGGGTAGGAACATGTGAGGACTGTGTATTGGTGGGGCTGTCACAGCAGAAGTGGTGTTCTTGTGAAGGATCCTGGGGTGGTAGTCGCATCGAGCCCTGGACCCTGGTTCGGGTGGGGTGGGCCTCCATCCTGCCAGTTCCGGGTGGTGGGAGTCCCCGGTGTACTCAGCACCCCGAGCTGTCCTACTGTCTGTGGTCCAAGTGTGCTGACACGCGCTAGCCCCACCCATCCGCTAACCTGTCCCTCTCCTCCAGAGGCAGAGTGGCCGTGGCCGTGGGGCAGACCAGCCCGGGAGCCAGATGAGCAGAGAGATCTGTGTGCACTCCTGGCCTTGCTCCTACTACTTAGAACCAGAGAAGCGATGGGTTCCTGGAAAGCTTTCATTAACTTCTCACTCCCTGAGATTTGCAACTGATAAAACCGGGGAGGCCCTGGTCAGCTTCCCCCTGTCTAGTGTGATTGAGATCAAGAAGGAGGCTTCTTACTTTGTCTTCAGTTCTATCACCGTCCTGGAGAAGGACCACCTCAAGCACTGGTTCAGCTCCTTGCAGCCCAGTCGGAATGCGGTCTTCAGCATCATCGAGCATTTCTGGAGAGAGCTGCTGCTGTCTCCATCGGAAGCACTGCTCCCTGTGACCAAGGGGAAGCAGCTGACTGGTCTGATGGCCTGTTCCCAGAAGCGCCTGGAAGAGACAGCCCGAGTCCTCCACCATCAGGGCGAGCAGCTGGACAGCATCACCAAGGGCCTAGACAAGATGGAATCTGACCTGGACGTGGCTGACAGGTACAGGGGGCGCTTCGGACACACGGGTCACGCCCCTGCCGTGCGCAGTGACGCCGGGTGGGCGTTGGTGAGGGACACATTCTGTGCCTGGTGCAGAGCTCCAGTCTCGTGTTAATAAGGAAGGCTACCTCATTTCATCCTGTGGGGGAAACAGGCCGAGGGGCCAGGTCACACACATGAAGTTGCTGTTCTGCACGGCCATGTGGCCGCAGGGTTTGAGCTGAAGCTCTTTGGCTCCAGGAGCTGCTGGCTCTGCTGCTACACCAGCCATTCCCAAACCAGGGACCCCCTTCAGTCTTCTAAACAGTGGGGGCCCCAAGGAGCTTTTGTTTATGTGGCTGTGTGTGCCGACATTGCCGTATTTCTTTAAAATCAGAAATTAAAAAAGTATTTGTCCGTTGAAAAAGTGTGATAATGAACCCATGACCTAGTAACGGAAATAACTTTGTCAATGAGAAATAGCTTTGATAAAGCAGACATGTTTAGTGGGAAGACTGGGCGTGTCAGAGATGGCCGGGTCCTTCCACCTGCTTCTGCAGCCTGCCCCCCCCCCCGCCGGGTTATCCTGTGTCCCGGGGCCTCCGGGCGCTCCCTGCACATGCAGGAGAGCGAGGGCGAAAAGCCGAGCAGTGCCATGGTGCTGTTGTGAAGAAACAGACCCCCCCGGAGGGTCCCAAAGACCCCAGTTTGCCAAGCACTGCCCTGACTCTAAGCCGTGTGCAATGTGAAAGGGATTTTAGCGCTGGGAGGGCTGCCTCAGAGCTCATGACAAGGTGGCGGCCTCTCGTGATGGGCCCTGAGCATAGGCAACGCTGTCTCACATCAGGGACACGTGGCCGCTGGTGCTGAGAACCCCTGGCCCCGAGTGACCCCAGTCTGCAGTTACCACCTGTGGCTATTTTGGGATATTCTTTCCTAAGTGCCTGCATGGTGAAAGACCTAGTGCTGCAGGGAATGGCCCCAAATCTTACCCTTAAGAGGGGTGCCTGTGGTAACTGAGGTGGAAGGTGCTCAGACCTCTGTGAGTTTTGGTCCTAGGAACATAGCTGAGCAGTTTCTGCCCTTCCAGTGCCATCATGTGGTGGGGGAGGTCATGGGACTGAGTGGTGGGCAGGAGTGATGTAGGTCACTTCCAGGCCTGGTCTCTGAAAGCCTCCCACCCCATCTGTGTGCTCTCTTCCCCTCACCTGCTGGTGGCATGCAGAGAATCCTCCCCAGGACTCAGACGTGAGCTGGAGTTTGGGTCGCCACACGGCGTCCCAGAGCAGGCCCGACCCCAGCCCTCCACTGGGGGGCTATGTCAACATTAAAATAATAAAAATCTAGGTTTCGATGATCAGGTTAATAAGAATTACAAAAAAAAA